AAATCAGTACGAAGACTGTTCTCTTTTTCTCCATCTGTTTTTGGAATGAAAACCTCTCTTGTTAACCTAAAGGGTATTTCGGATTATTTTTTTTTGCTAATTAATATTTGATGTTGATTTTTTTTGTTTGGTTTGTTGTGTAGGGGATTTAGAAATGTGGTGATTACATAGGCAAATTAAGCAAATGGAACTTGCAGTTGAGCAAGCTACTCAATCACGTTCAAGAAGAAGCAAGTGGCAGTTATGGGGACAAGTGATGCTGGTGCTAAAGAAGAGTGTCACCGGGTGTATTGTGTGTCTGAAAGAACAGAAGGAAATCCCTCACTAGGTGTATTGTGCTAAAGAAGACCTTCTGCCCATTCCATTATAATTACTGGTGATTCTTCTCGGTTAATGATATCAGGACATAAGAGAATGATATATGTAAGCAATCCTAATGTTCCTCTCAACTGTTGAGTTATGTCAAGATAATGATATATATTTCTTTTCAGGTTGTAGATGTTGGAAGCTAGAATTTAAGTCACTAATTCATCACATGTTGTAAGGATTCAAATTCAGAATTACCACCTGTAGTCAACTATTTTGGAGATGACTATATATTCAATCTAGAGACACAAGTACTCTAGCTAGTATATGTGTATGTATGATGTTTATAGGGCTAATCTGATGTAATTTTGTATGTCTGTTTGAGCAGGAAATGCTAGTTCATTCCAAAAGTCACTTGTTTTCTGCAGTAGGTAGCATTCAAACACAAGTTGGAACCTTTCTTCAAGATAAAGGCAATTTTTTTTTCTATCATAGATCAAAAGAATAGCCTTCATCTTAAATGATCTTCTAAAAGTTTATCTTCCTCAAAAGGTTTATGATTCTATGTTATTTTCTAGAAGAACATGGGAAGGTGGTCAATACAATAGGGATGAAAAGAGTCGATTGGATGATCTGTGTTTAGCAATGGAGCTAGGAGCTGATCACATCGATGTTGAGCTTCAGGTTCCTTTTTCTCTCTAGGTGTAAATGGTGCAGCTGGTCATTGCTTTCTTGGCTCATATATAGGCATATAAACCATAATTTATTGCAATGCAGTTATTAACTCATTAACATTTAATAAACTTATTTTTTTCTCAAAAACAGAACAATTGAATCAGGGCAAATTTGTAAGAACTAAGAAGTTGGACTTAGTAGGGAAAGCCTCATTTTCCTGACTTTCTGTATTAACTTCTTTATGGATTAAGTTAAAAATAGTTTGTCTTATACTCTTATCCTGTATTATCACTTATGCATTTGTTTTTTCATATATTATGGTATTTTAAACTCATGGGATTATAATGTCTTTTAGATACACAGATAGAATGAAAAGTGTTGATCATCAAATTACAGTGCTTTTGTATGATTTATTTATAAAAAAAGTAATGCTTGTTTTCCAGGGTGAGAAGAAGAAGAAAATAAAACTGAAAATTATTGGGATTGGGAATTGGCCAATGAGACAAAACCGATATGGGTAATTTAAAAAAGTGATTTTTTTTTTTTAACTTTTTGAGCCATTTGTTTTCTTAACAATTTGTTAATTTATATAATGGAAATGCTGATGAGGAATCCTAAAGAATTGAAAAAGATCCTTACAATGAGTTTTACAAGAAGACATTTGATGAGTTTCTTGATCCTCTTGCACACACTCCTTTCACCACAGACGTACTTGTTCTACATTTTTCTTACATTTTCTGGATTAATTTACTAAATTTAAATCTATATATTTATTTAATGTATTCATTTTTGTAGGGTGAAGTAGAGTTTAGGGGTTATTGTTAATAACCAAACAGTAGTCGGAGGGGGGAAGAAGCATCACGGGAGGTAGGGGTTATTGGTTCCTGATTAATCTATTTTATGTTGCAGATAACATTATTTGCAATATCAGAAGACAATATACAGATACAAGAATAATAAACAAATAAACTAAGGAACTTTGTTATTCTGATTACCTAACTTGTTTTTGCAGTCAACATCTCAAATGAAGAGCAGGCTTCTATTAGTGTAGCTGTTCCTTCTGTACATGAGACTGAAGGTGGTTCTGCTTCTTTAGGTCCCACTTACAGGGATTCCTTCTTTCACTACAAGGGTACTTATGATTCTGTACATCCATGCTTTTGATTTTATGATTTGTAAAAGTAATTTCTTTTCTACTTATTGCTTTCCGATTAATTTCAGTTAATTGCAGGTGGTTGGAGACGTGCACAATCCTTGGAAAATATTCTTCTTCCTCTGAATTCTTACAACTTCTTTCATAGGAAAGGTAGATTAATCACAAATTGATTTTTTGCGGAATCAATTTCCAGTTTCGGCCTTCATCAAAATGTACATATAATTTATAAGTTATAATAAGAAATTTAGATAAGTAAATACTTAATAGATTAATAATACAATTATGTTTGTTATTTTATAACTTTTATAGTTTTATATTTTCTTGAATTTCAACGTGACAACTGTTAACTGTTCCTTATGCAAGGTTGTTAGTTGTCCCTCTTTTAAGGTGTATGTGTGATTGTGATCATTCTGTTAGAAGAAGTGTCACACACAGGTTTGGTGCCCTTGTTCGTCTTTTACCCCTTGCACGTGGTGTCTGATATTGTTGCTTTGAACCAAAAACAGGTTCAATTTTCGAAGTCGCCATCTTTCCAAATAGAATCCAAAGGTTCAATTTCCTGAATTAATCGTCACTCTTGTTCTATTGCTACACGAAATTATAGTTTTTTGCTCTAAAATGTCGTGATGTTGGGGAGGAAACTGTTTCTAGAGTCTGCTGGATGGTATAGAACCTTCTAGAAATATTTTTAAGTATAATTATCATGTGTTATCTTATTCTTTCCTATCAAGCATATATGATAATATACATATTCTTCTTGTTTTTAGGGTTTGTGTCTGGACTGTTGTGATGTTGTGTGTTCTTCCTATACTCGATGCTTACACACTCATCACAAGATTCACAAGGGTTGGTGGTGAACTTTTTGGCATGTTGATTTCAGTGTTCTTTATGCAAGAGGCTATTAAGGTACATGCAGATGCACTTGTTAATGTTTTGACTTTCCTTAATTTTGAGAGATAATTCATTCAGTGTGATCTTATGTTGGATATTTTAGGGAGTTATTAGTGAGTTCCATGTTGGATATTTTAGGGAGTTACTAGAGATGTTCCTCCTGGTGTTCCTAGACGCCTTTTTTGTCCCCTTCCTTGGGAACCTAGATCTTTGTCCCATTGGACAGTCATTAAGGTATTTTTTATAATAACAATGTACTTTGTTTTCTACCCATAGTAGTAACATACTTACATATTGCTATTACAAGTACATTTCTATTATTGGTAAAGAAATGTAAATATTGGTAGTATATCATCATTAAAAAATTGAAGTATGCTACTATTATGGTGAGGAAATGAAGGTAGATTGTACCTTTATTAGAAGATAAAGATTAATGTTATTTCAAGATATGGTGAAGGTTCCAGCAGTTCATATTTTCACTGCTATAATACCAGCACTGATGATAGCATCCTTGTACTTTTTTGACCATAGTGTAGCTGCACAAATGGCACAACAGAAAGAATTCAATCTTAAAAACCCTTCTGCTTACCATTATGACATATTGTTACTTGGATTCATGGTATTAAATATTAATACCCTTCCTTAATGCCTTTTTCCCTTTTCTCCATTTTATATATTATTATTATTATTTACATTTCAACAACCATTACATGTGTGAAATTAGACTCTGATTTGTGGTCTGGTTGGTATCCCTCCATCAAACGGTGTCCTCCCACAATCACCCATGCACACAAGGAGTCTCGCAACTCTTGAGAGACAGGTTACCCATGCAATTATAAAACAACTTTTTTCAACAAATTATAAGGTTTTTTTCATTAATAATAAAATCTTATACTTCGTGGTTTGGTTTTTTCAGATTATGAAAAAGAAGATGGTAAAGATCGCAAAGGAGGGCAAGAAAATGGAAGCAAGCAGCTTAGAAATCTATGGAAAAATGCATGTTGCTTTTGTTCAAATGGATCCTCATCCACAAGTACTTTAGTTACAATTTTAAAGTAGAATGCAGTTATTTGTATATAAATTAGTTCATTTTTTTATAACATTTACTCACTATTGGAATAATTATTTGTATTTGACATATTAGTGAAATGAATTATCTTTGTTATTTATGGTATTTTATTTTGTATTATGAGACTTTTAAGGTATTATTTAATTTGAAAATTAGTAAATCTATAAATAATACTTTTTTTAAACATTTAAAATTATGATATGCAAAAATGTGTGTCATCTTCATTTATGACATGGCCTTTCTTGACAGTGGCTTTCTTGATACGCATTGCATTTCATTAACACGCGTCGTAAGGTTACGACACGCGAATGCGTGTCGTCTTCCTTTATGACATGGCCTTCCTTGATACGCATTGTGTGTCGTAAACGCGCGTCGTAATTGAGCGTTGTAAATGAGCGTCGTAAATGCGCGTCATCTATAGGCGACGCGCAAAAGCGCGTCGTCTCTCTTTATGACAGGGCCTTCCTTGACGTGCATTCGCGCGTCGTCTGAGCATTTTACGACGTGCAATGAGCATCATAAAAGGCTGTTTTTCTAGTAGTTTAATTAGGTTAATTTATCGAGCAAGTGGAAACACTGCTCACATTACATGTGTTAGAATTATTTACTTACATGCAGCTGGTAACAGTTATTCAGGAAACAAATATTCATTCGAGGATAGTTATTTCAAATTCATAGAGTTTATTTGGTATAGACTCATTTATGAATTGTTCCTAGAACCCTGTGGAAGTCAGGACCCGATACATCCAAAACTAGGATAACCTTGTCTTTTCAGCTTTCGGCTTGTGTCCGTTGCTATAGACTTATTCTGTCTTATCCTTGTTTTCTTTTAGCAAAGATGCCTCCTCGCAGATCAACCAGACATGCTACTCCGATAACTCCCATACCTTTTCCCCAAATCGATGTAGCAACTCTGAATGCTGCAGTGGCCGAGGCTGTGGCAACAGCCATGGCACAATATCATCCCATCAGTATAGGTCGAGGTGAAACACCTACTGATTCTACACAAGGTGAGGTCCCTGTGCGCTAGGGAGAGTTCTCCTACAAGGACTTCACCAGATGCCAACCATTGTCCTTTAAAGGGACTGAAGGAGTCATTGCTCTCATGCAATTATTCGAGAAAACAGAGTCGGTTTGCGAAATCTATTTATGCCCAGAAGGAAGCAAAGTGAAGTTTGCTGCCTGCACCTTCGATGGCAAGGCGCTAACATGGTGGAACAACCATGTTAAGTCACTAACCCTATCAGTGGCAAACTCAATAGGTTGGGAAAACCTAAAAGAGTTAATGCGGGAAGAATATTGCCCATTAGGAGAGATTCAAAAACTAGAACAATAGCTATGGGATCTCACTATGGTCGGCTCAGACATAGTGACCAACACGGATCGGTTCATCGAACTAGCAGCTCTATGTACCGAGATGATTACCTCGGAGAAAACCAAGATAGAAAGGTACATTTGGGGTCTGACTGCTCCGACCCAAGGAAATGTGCTGTCTTCTAACCCAGCCACGTTCGCTAGTGCTAAACGCTTGGCTTAGCGACTCATCGATCATGGAGTCCGCCATAGCGTGAAAGTCCCTATTCCCAAGTCATCAAGGGAAGAGGACTATAATCAGGAGTCAGAGAACAAGAGAAAGAAGAAGCGAACAACACCAGACACCCTGCAAGAGCAACATGCGAGTACTATGTACGCCGCTACAACGCCTACTGCTTCAGCACCTGCCAGTCGATATGCTGGAAACCTTCTGAAATGTGGAAAGTGCAATTTCCACCTATCACACCCGAAAACCGAAGGCGGAAACATTTCCGGAGTTGAATCCACGTTGAGTATCAAATCCAATGCACATAGTAAGTAAAGTAAAACAACCATTACATTACATAAGAAAAGTTTTACAGTTGTTTCAAAAGTAAAATTTGTACTGATGTGATACATAGCATATAAATATAAACAAAATGAAACGGGTCTTCTGAGTACTCTGTCTTCAAGCAAAAAGGATCTTCGGGTACCTGTTTTAATGCTGACCTGAGAACACAAGCGGTTTGAAAATCAGCATAACGCTAGTGAGTTCATAAGCGGTTTTGTTTGTGAAATTGTTCAAGTTTCCTTTCTGTTTCTGAAATGTTACGCACACCAATAAAAATCTCATGTTTTCTTAATAAAGGTTGGTTATCGTTTGAAAAAAAACATGTTTTCTCTTGTAAAGATGTATAGTTAAGTTATCTGGATTGACATACTATTCTGGTTATGTACCAATGTATTTCCTAGGAAAGTCCCATACTTTCCTGATTTGTATGTTATCAATTGTAAAAGATGTAAAGTAAGGTTATCTGATTTGTTACCCTTTCTGGTTATGTAATGTTTTCCCCAGGAAAGTCCCGTACTTTCCTGAATGTTGGTTACCATATGTAAATGATGTGTTCTTGTTAGACCTGGTTATGTACAAGGTTTCAAAGGAAAGTCCCATACTTTCCTGAATGTTAGTTACTATATGTAAAAGATGTTTTCTAGAGAACTGGTTATCTTGTTAATTGTATGAGGTTGTTCATTATTACCATAAGTAAATCTCTGTTATCCTAATTGTGAGTTCCATAACCATACAATGGACTAAACCTGTGGCAATAAGTAGTCCACATACTTATGACTTTCGTCACCCTTGAACCAATTCGGTTCGGCTGCAGCTAATAGCCAGGTGTGGGGTAGTCAGCCCCGTATAAATCTATACACTCAAGTCACGCTCTCTAAATCCCAGAGATTCTGGTTACGGGTGTAGTCCTCTACTCGCATATCTCTGTGGAGTGTTCGCCGAGGACGTGTCTCCAATCATACAGGATTAACAAATTTACTAGTAATAATATGATAGTCCTCCACTCGCGTATATATGTGGAGTGTTACCGAGGACAAAACAGTGTACAGGTATTATGTTCAAATTTTCTAATGTCATGCTTTTAACTGATAAAATATGGAAAGCCATTTGTGAAATATATGTAAAACATAACAGTTTAAAACCCATTTCACAAATATATGTTACGTGATCTGTATGTTCAAACGGTTATCAGCTGTAATAATCAGTGTTAAAAGCATATAAAATGTGAAATACACATATGAAAACATGTTTTTGAGTACAAGTAATCCCTTCTACTTTGCTTGTGTTCCCCCTGAAAACAGTGAAAACAGTGAAAAAGAGTAGGGGTATGAACTCACCAGACTCGGAATGCGACGTTTCGTACACAAGATGTTGGTTCGGGGTTTGATTACTCGCGATGTCCATATGTAAAAATGAAATAATGTCCATATATATTCAATTAGGGATACATTCACTAATTATATGGAACATTACACTCCGACGAGGTTAAACACCTCAAAACAAGCGTTTGGAGTGACCCGGGTGACATCTACAGACGTGTATTGGTACTAGGGACTAGGGACTTGAGTTTACTCCCCAAGAGTAAACATTTAAGTGAGTTTACAGCCATAAAACACACACATACATGAGTTTACGGCCGTAAACTCATGTTGGTGTGGTTTTGAGTGTTAAAATGGCTTAAATAGACAAAGGGATGTTGGAATGAACTTCTAAAATGCCTTGGATTAATTTGCTTTAGATTTATACCATTTAAAAGGGAGTTCACGGCTGTAAACTTGGAGTTTACAGCCGTAAAATCTCCTATGGTCAAGGATAATTGATTTGAAGCACTTAAAGCAATCACATGTGATTCTAGTAATTTTTCAAAGCCTTAGGGTGGTTTAAGGGCATCATTTGACACACTTTTATGAGTTTACGGCCTAAGAGTATGTGCTATGGCCGTAAACTCCTAAATGTGGTGTTTTAATATGTTTAAGGCCTCCAAACTATTTTTAGGTGGTTCTATGATTTATTCCAAGGCTATTGGTTAAGTTTCAAGGCATTCTAGCTAACATGATTTAAGGTGTTTAATCCGCATTTTTGAGGAGTTTACGGCCCAAGAAGGAGCCTTGGCCGTAAACTTTCTTTTGTCCCACAAAATTCATGTTTTAAATGTTTCAAGTCCTGATTTCCAAGCCTTAAGGTCGTATCTAAGTCCGAACAATGATTTGGAAGGGTTAAATGGCTCAAAAACCCCTTTATTGTGTGTTTACGGCCCAAGCTTATTCCTTGTCCGTAAACACATGTTCCAGGTCCTAAATCTCATTTTGAACTTGGATTTGAAGGCCTAAGAGGTTGAATAACAAGCTAGGAAGGTTACCTCTATGATTTGTAGCCTTAATTCTTTGATTTTGGACCTTAATTTAGAGTGAGGAGAGAGGTTAGAGAGAGAGTAGTGAGATGAAGCCAAAAGCTTCAAATGAAGGCTTAGAACACTTTATATAGTGTCTAAGTTTTGGACGCGGAGGAATTCTACCCGATACCGGCATTAGGCGAGACTTTTGGTTGTACCCGAGTAAGTTGCCGTAACCCGGTATGGTCGATTCTAGAAATATTCCGATCACTAATATGAGGTGTTAAAATGATTTCTAAATGTATTAAGACACCCATTAAGTCATTTTAGATACGTACAAGTTAATGAATTAATTAAATAAGAAAATCGGAATCGAATTTGAAAACGACGATTGGTTGCTTGAATTGAACTACGAAAGAGTTACAAGAAGTGGTACGGAATTTCGGGTTGTTACACCACCACACCGGAGTATGCCGAGAAATGCAGTGTCTGAACTGCCACAGAAAAGGACACACTGTCCATTACTGCATGGCACCGGCTCAACCGATCTCCCAAGTCCTCAAAGCTAAAGAAAACCAAGCCTGCTATGGCTGTGGTGAAACTAGACACAGTCAGAAGGACTGCCCGATAATCCGGAACTCAGGCATGGATGGACGCATTTGATGGGTTTTAATCATTCTAACACTTCCTAAGTGTACATGCAACCCTAATAACCTTGGATCTATGTTTGTCTAATTATCTTGCAAAGTTGATTTCCAAGGTTATGAACCTATCTAG